ACCACTTCTTTGTAAAATATGACTAAATAAGAGCGAGTGTATCCACTGACAACGAGTTATCTTTTAAAGCGCATTATCATTCATTCCCTAGCAACAGATCACCATCCTTGAGACGTTTGTATCGTTATGGTTTTTCAATAGACTTCATTGTTTGACTAGCGATCAGTTGTATTATCAATATAAAACCCGGATATTGAAGGATACACCTAATCTGGTAATGGCTAGCTAAAGCATGAAACACAATATCAAACGTCAGTAGAAAAAAGGGCATACAATAAATGGTGTGGTCTTAAATACTAGACAGATGAGAATATCGATAGAGCTTTATTAAATATCAGTATTGATTTCTGTAAGTTTTGTTGTTTATTACAGCGAGTTATGAGCAGGTAATATTCGTCATTACAGTAGGTATTTGTACTAGGGCTTGACGTTACATCGTGTAATACACTAGGACATTAAACGTTACAGCGTGTAATGCACTAGGACATTTAACGTCACAGCGTGTAATACACTAAGACATTTAACGTTACAGTGTGTAATTCACTAGGACATTTAACGTCACAGCGTGTAGTACACTAAGACATTTAACGTTATAGCGTGTAATACACTAGTACATTTAACGTTACAGCGGGCAATCCCCTAGGACATTTAACGTTACAGCGGGCAATCCCCTAGGACATTTAACGTTACAGCGTGTAATACACTAGGACATTTAACGTCACAGCGTGTAATACACTAAGACATTTAACGTTACAGCGTGTAATACACTAGGACATTTAACGTTACAGCGTGTAATACACTAAGACATTTAACGTTACAGCGTGTAATACACTAGGACATTAAACGTTACAGCGTGTAATACACTAGGACATTTAACGTTACAGCGTGCAATACACTAGGACATTTAACGTTACAGCGTGTAATACACTAGGAAATTTAACGTTACAACGATTAATACAAATGGAGGCTTTCACATTACAGCAGAAGATGAACTAATAATTACATTAATTGGTGTCAGTTTAAGATGCCACCAGCAACTCTTATACTGATTAATGTAGTTTGAATATGTTTCCTGCAGTACTTATACCTATTACTATGATTTTAATATGCTATCAGTATTAAAACAAAACAAGAGAATCCTTCAGTACTAATACCTATTAATATGATTTAAATATGCTATATGTAGTANGTAAAACAAAACAAGAGAATCCTACAGTACTAATACCTATTAATATGATCTTAATATGCTATAAGTAGCAAAACAAAACAAAAGAATCCTTCAGTACTAATACCTATTCATATGATTTAGATATGTTATAAATAGTAAAACAAAACAAGAGAATCCTGCAGTACTAATACCTATTAATTAATATGATTTAAATATGCTATAAGTAGTAAAACAAAACAAGAGAATCCTGCAGTACTAGTACCTATTAATATGATTTTAATATGCTATCAGTATTAAAACGAAACGAGAGAATCCTGCAGTGCTAGTACCTATTAATATAATTTTAATATACTATCAGTAATAAAACAAAACAAGAGAATCCTGAAGTACTATTACCTATTAATATGATTTTAATATGCTATCAGTATTAAAACGAAACGAGAGAATCCTGCAGTACTATTACCTATTAATATGATTTTAATATGCTATCAGTAGTAAAACAAAACAAGAGAATCCTGCAGTACTAATACCTATTAATATGATTTTAATATGATATAAGTAATAAAAAAACAAGAGAATCCTGCAGAACTATTACCTATTAATATGATTTTAATATGCTATCAGTAGTAAAACAAAACAAGAGAATCCTGCAGTACTAATACCTATTAATATGATTTTAATACGATATAAGTAATAAAAAAAACAAGAGAATCCTGCAGTACTATTACCTATTAATAATATGATATAAGTAATAAAAAAACCAAGAGAATCCTGCAGTACTAATACCTATTAATATGATTTTAATATGCTATAAGTAGTAAAAAACAAGGGAATCCTGCAGTACTTATACCTATTAATATGATTTTAATATGCTGTAAGTAATAAAACAAAACAAGAGAATCATGCAGTACTAATACCTGTTAATATGATCTTAATATGCTCTAAGTAGTAAAACAAAACAAGAGAATCCTGCAGTACTATTACCTATAAATATGATATAATATGTTATAAGTAGTAAAACAATCGAGGAGAATCCTGCAGTACTAATACCTATTAATATGATTTCTATATGCTATAAGTAGTAAAACAAAACAAGAGAATCCTGCAGTACTAATACCTATTAATATGATTTAATATGCTATAAATAGTAAATTAAAACAAGAGAATCCTGCAGTACTAATACCTATTAATATGATTTAATATGCTATAAATAGTAAATTAAAACAAGAGAATCCTGCAGTACTAATACCTTTTAATATGATTTGAATATGCTATAAGTAATAAAAAAATCAAGAGAATCCTGCAGTACTAATACCTATTAAAATTATTTGAATATGCTACCAGTAGTAAAACAAAACAAGAGAATCCTACAGTACTAATACCTATTAATATGATTTAATATGCTATAAATAGTAAATTAAAACAAGAGAATCCTGCAGTACTAATACCTATTAATATGATTTTAATATGCTATAAGTAGTAAAACAAAACAAGAGAATCCTGCAGTTCTAATACCTATTACTATGATTTTAATATACTATCAGTAATAAAACAAAACAAGAGAATCCTGCAGTACTAATACCTATTAATATGATTTTAATATGATATAAGTTATAAAACAAAACAAGAGAATCCTGCAGTACTAATACCTATTAGTATGATATAATATGTTATAAGTAGTAAAACAAAAAAAGAGAATCCTGCAGTACTAATACCTATTAATATGATCTTAATATACTATAAGTAGTAAAACAAAACAAGAGAAACCTGCAGTACTAATACCTATTAATATGATCTTAATATGCTATAAGTAGTAAAACGAATCAAGGGAATCCTGCAGTTCTAATACCTACTAATATGGTTTTAATATGCTACTAGTAGTTAAGCAAATCAAGAGAATCCTGCAGTACCAATACCTATTAATATGATTTAAATATGCTACTAGTAAAAAAGCAAATTAAGAGAATCCTGCAGTACTTATACCTATTAATATGATTTTAATATGNGATGTGATATAAGTAATAAAAAAAACCAAGAGAATCCTGCAGTACTAATGCCTATTAATATGATTTTGATGTGATATAAGTAATAAAAAAATCAAGAGAATCCTGCAGTACCAATACCTATTAATATGATCTTAATATACTATAAGTAGTAAAACAAAACATGAGAATCCTGCAGTACTGATACCTATTAATATGATTTTGATGTGATATAAGTAATAAAAAAAACCAAGAGAATCCTGCAGTACGAGTACCTATTAATATGATTAAAATATGCTATATGTAGTAAAACAAAACAAGAGACTCCTGCAGTACTGACACCTATTAATATGATTTTGATGTGATATAAGTAATAAAAAAATCAAGAGAATCCTGCAGTACGAGTACCTATTAATATGATTTAAATAAGATATAAATAGTAAAACAAAACAAGAGAAGCCTGCAGTACTAGTACATATCAATATGATTTTAATATGCTATAAGCAGTAAAACAAAACAAGATATCCTGCAGTACTAATACCCATTAAAATTATTTAAATAAGCTACCAGTAGTAAAACAAAACAAGTGCAGTACTATTACCTATTAATATGATTTAAATATGCTATAAGTAGTAAAACAAAACAATACTAGTAGCATATCTAAATCATACTAATAGGTATTAGTACTATAGGTAGTAAAACAAAACAAGAGAATCCTGCAGTACTGATACCTATTAATATGATTTTATATGCTATAAGTAGTAAAACAAAACAAGAGAATCCTGCAGTACTAATACCTAATAATATTATTTAAATATGCTATAAGTAGTAAAACAAAACAAGAGAATCCTGCAGTACTGATACCTATTAATATGATTTTAATATACTATCAGTAATAAAACAAANTCTATTAATATGATTTTGATATGCTATAAGTAGTAAAACAAAACAAGAGAATCCTGCAGTACTGATACCTATTAAAATGATTTAAATATGCTATAAGTAGTAAAACAAAACAAGAGAATGCTGCAGTACTGATACCTATTAATATGATTTTAATATACTATCAGTAATAAAACAAAACAAGAGAATCCTGCAGTACTAATACCTATTAATATGATTTTAATATGCTATAAGCAGTAAAACAAAACAAGAGAATCCTGCAGTACTGATACCTATTAAAATGATTTAAATATGCTATAAGTAGTAAAACAAAACAAGAAAATACCGAAGTGTCAACAAAACAACAATTCTAACTCAAAATTGATAAAAGCAAGGCAACATATGAACAAAGGGAAGATTACATAGATACCATTGAAAAAGTACCAGGACAACATAACAAGGGGTTCCGGAAGGGTAACACATATTAGTATGAATTTAATATGTCACCAGCAACACTTATACTGACTGATGCAGTTTTGATATGCCGCCATTAGTGCACATGCTTATGCTTATTAATATGATTTTACATTTTGTTTTTGTTATTTTAGAAAGTTAATTAAGGCCCGATCTGTCGCATTAGCCCTCGGCCTGCGACCTCAGGACAATATGACAGACCCCAGCTTAATAACTGGGCCATAATGGAATTCGATTAACAATAACTCTATATTAGTAAACTGTTAAGATATTGACCTCGCCTTAAATGTAACTCGTGCCAAATGGACCGCTTCTAGATATAGCGTAAAATGTTACCCATTGCTACTTTGTTTTGTGTATTGTTTTATATTGGTTTTGGAAATGTCCCATTTTTTACAAATCTAATATTTTACATGTATGTATTAATTTTCATTCAAAACTAACAGAGAATTGATCCGCCCTTAACTAACGAAATTGTTTTCTTAATGTTGAAGATTGGATAGAGGATGCAAGGGATACGAAGGAGTTTGAGAAACCTTCAAGTGAGCAAACTTCACAAAAACAATCTCAAGTGGCTTCAACATTGAAATGGTGAGTTTATATATATCATTTCTTTTGAATCGGTTTCTTTTTTGTTTTGTTTTTGTTTTGCTATAGTGCAGACAATTGAAAATCAATTGATCTTAAACATACCCCATTTACGAAATAATCAACTATCCAGCAAGAACGGAGTTTAGCATTTTAAGCTTTCAAAACTTACCTTACTGCTTAATAAGATTTTGTCACTCTTTAAAATAATGGTGTATATACATGTATGCATAAACTGGTTTATAGGCACATTTAGTTATATCTAAAATAGTCGCAGTACAGTATTGGAATTCACTCATTATCTAATAGTGTATTGATCACATGACGAACGGGATTTGCTGTTGATGGACGAATGTATTCTTTGCCTTTGCTTTACATTGTTATATTTTATATCAAAATACACTCTGCCTTAGTAAATTGTACAAATATTTCTTTTGGTTTTTACATATTCTTTAATAAATTGAAGGAGGAATTCTCATAAGATTTTGTTACGGGGCTTTTTGATATTCTCATATTCAAATGATACATTATGCATTTCCTATGTAAATTGTGTTTGAACGGTTGCGGTTGGTAAGCCATCTGTTCAGTTTTAAATGTACTTCTAATATATTTTAATAGAAATGTCCGTTTTAATTTAACAATTATACCTTTTTTATTTGGAAATATTCAAATAAATAGTGCTTTCACTATGAAAAACTACATACTTATAATTGAAATGTTCTTTAAACACACAGAAATATTATGTATAGTATGTGTGTTTATTACAATCCATTGCTTATGTTTATTAAAAAATAAATCGATGATATGCGACCAATGTTTAATATAATGTCGGCAAAAACATGTTGTTGTTTTTTTCAAATTCTTCCCTAAATAGTATTAGATCGGGTTTTTATATGATTTGGTATATTTTGTACCCCCTTTTTCATATAAGTCATGTAAGATTTGCCTAAAAAGATCTTCGGTGATGGAATTTAGTCGGTTTTTTTAAAATTTGAAATGCTAGGTTTTGAATGCATTCGAACACGAGTATTTAATATATTGACAGATGGAGGTTACTATTTACAGGGAACGTCTGTCACATAGACATCCTCTCCTTCTCAAATATTGCCTGGCCTCTTCCAATGTCAAGAGGAAATCTGTCACTTCTCCAAGCTTTCGTAATCCTTGTTATGTTATAAACGTGCGTCATATTGGCCAGTGTGCTGAGTTCGTGTGAGCAATTTGTATATTAATGCCACTTTGTCATATGCGTCATTTAATTATGCAGGTGTTTCATGAAAAATACACAATAATCATAACAGAGCCTATATCTAGAACTGAAGATAAAACTGTTCACTGTTTTATTTAAGAATTGTTTTAAAACCCAATTAAGCGTTTCCTTAGTTACTGTATCTTTGTTCTCTGTCAGGTTTACCGTGCTGTTAAATTGTACATGTTCCTACGTTTGTAATCCACGTTGGAAAAATAAAATGATCCTTTTGATTGCAAACAATTAAATTACAGAAAATGTCTTTTTAAATCAATCGGATAAATATTTGCACCAAAAACAAGTTGGGTATTTTTTAGTATTAAGAGTAAATAACTATATTGCATGATAAGAACGATATTATCGACCGTTATTTATTGTTTGCTTTGGTTGAAAAGTTACTAAAAGATATTTCCCTTTTAATTAAAATAGTAAAAGAAGCAATATAGCAACAAGAAATGTTCGCAATATTGTATTAAATATTTAATACTCTGACATGACATGGTGTCGTATTGTAATCAGACTGCGATGAATTAATCAATGATTATTTTCTCTCAAGCTTTGTATTTCAAACCTGCTTTTTAATTACGTCCGAAGCGTTACATAAAATGTGTACGGATGCCTCACCCTCCTTGATACACAATATGTATAGGACAGTTTGTATGAGACTTATGACTTCTACCATAATGACTACATGCATGTCGGCTGATATCAGCTGTGCTTTAACTGTATGAATTAGACATTCATCGTTCAGGGTATACGTAATCGACTAGGGCTGTAATTGTCTTATAAAACAATGACATTTATTGCTATTACAGTTATTTGTGGGTAGAAAGCATTACAAATAAAAGTAAAATTATGTGAGGAACTAACATCAGTATTGACACGCTCTTAGGTTTACAAAATATTATAAATATCAGAGCATGTGATTAAAGAGGCTAAAATCAGAAGTGGCAAGTTGGAAAATTCGTTTGCCGGCGAAAGGGACCTTATTGAGAAACGACTATATAGATGTTTGCTTGAAAAGTTGTCCTCTTTTTAGTGACGATACAGTGGTCCTAATATTTGTCCAGTCCATTGTTTATTTGAACGAATATCATTTTAATACAAAATACTGACATTGACATTTATATTTAATACATTTTTATCAAATTTGAGTAACAATGATCAACTTATTTCTCCATATGTACACAACGTAAGGTATACCATTTTATTTTACGACTTTATTACTGCTGTATAAAGCTATACTAGTGTAGTACAAACAGAGAAGACAATGCAAGGATTACATTTAAAAACAAATCGATGCTAAAATATTCTAATTTTTTCCTGAAATTGTACGTATTGTAAGTATAGAATGTAAAGTCCTGTTGTTAACCCATTGAATTGACAGCTTACTTTAGTTTTCAATTTTGTCTCATTTAAAAAAAAAACTGAAGCAAGATTATCACTTATCATACTTCATGTATATAAAAATGATGTATTTAGTTTCAACATAACGGTTATTGTTCACTTCCTACACCATCATAAATCAGTTTTGAAATGAAGTTTATTATTGACATGTATCTGTGATTTTGTAAGGCTGACGGAGAACTACGAGCGAGCGGAAGGGGTGTGTCTGCCAAGGTGTGTCCTCTATACACACTACCTTGACTTTTGTAAGAAGATGAAATTCACACCGGCTGGGGCGGCAACATTTGGCAAGGTAGCGAGATACTTGTTACTCTATATTTCAATTTAGTTTCAATCCTATCTTTAGCAGTTTTGGCTCCTCTCGCTTCATTTCATTACCTTTAATACTCTCATGTTTATGTCATACATTTTCATTTTAATATCCATTATGCATTTGTATCGGACTATATATAATAAAATGTCAACCATATTATTATCCTAAAAATGAAGAAATGCGATTATTTAAATAAAGGAGCATACATTATTTATATATATTTATTACGATTGCATATGCTTTAAATCATTTCTAAATTATGTACCGTTTTGACATGACGGGATTTATAAACTAATAAAAGGTAATTTTTGAATCGAATCAGATCATCCGTCAGAAATTCCCTAAACTTACGACGAGAAGGCTGGGAACAAGAGGGCAGTCAAAGTAAGTCCAGTTTATTATATAGTGATTATCTTAATACGGAATGACGCTACTGAAGTGAATTTTAGTTTTGTATAGTCCTGCATTAACATAAACTAATCTTCTGTTTATTTATTAACTTCTATTCGCGACTTTACAATGTTTTTCAAGTTATTCCTCCTTTTATTGATGAGACAAACCATTTACAATGTTCACGTATTTTGGGTTATTTCAAATTGAATGATTTTACGCAGTGAATATTTATTAAACAAGTTATTTAAAAACAATCTCCATTTCTTATCTTTGACTATATAAATATCTAAGCCTATCATCAATATAGGGAATTTCACTATTTATTTTGTTTCAAATAATGGCTATCGTTGTGTTACTAGCATCTAATCTTTTATACATAAAATGCTATAAATACATGTATGCTTATATTTCAACCAAATGCATGTAGACTGGATTTTGTTAACCTAATTGATATGCAATTCGTTTCAGGCTCAGTTATATATTCATCTAATTAATATGCCCTTTGTCATTTGATTTAGTTATGTGTTCACATGATTAATATGTTTTTGACTCATTTAGTTTTTAGACTCCTTTACATGATATACAGCTTTAATTTGTTTGGTCGTCAATGAGATGCCTTTCAATAGCACGTCTTTACGCCGCTCGTGTGTATACTTTGATCTAGGTATCACTACTACGGGATCGGAATCAAGGAAAGCTCAATCTACTACCATTCCGTGTACTCAGGCAAAGGTCTGACAAGGTAACTAGCACCCCGACAAGTCATCCAGTAACACACACTATATTATGTGTACAAGTTTAGTGAGAACACGCCGCTCTCCCTTAGTTAATGCTATAACGTCTAAGAATGTGGCTACTCTTTAACAGTAATACTTTCCTAAACCGTTCGAATTGAGTTGAACCCTGTTATAAACATGTTCCTACATTCACTGCCTTCTGAAGGATGTGTACTTTCAACACCATAACCTTGCAGTGTGTGACAAAGGGGTGATGATTGTACTGGTAATTTATATTGTGCAGGCGGATACGTGGCTTTACTGATAACTCATACTAATTAGTGTGTACCATAGGTGTATACGATTCCATAACACGGATTTCACAAGGGGATTGGAAAAGAATATGTCATGTATGTAAATCTGTCGATTAATAAAGCTTTGTTTCAGTTTAGATTCTACACGAAATGTAAACGCTAATTTTGAATTAAAACAATAAATAAAGAAAACATTAGAGAAATGACAACATTAGAGAAATGTATATTTGCTACCGACATAATAGAAAGTCATACTAAATAGTCGTTCAGGTTTGGGGAAATTGAGAGGCATCATTATAATGTATGTTCGCATAGGGTACGTCATGTATATCGAATGTGTTGTGGACCTATCCGAGGATGGCGTTTAGGACCAAACCTAATCTCTCTTTGTTTATCAGCCTACCTGTGATGTTTCGACCGTATTTGGTTTGGATATCGACAATCTCAGTGTATGCATGCATGGAACAGGGTTAAAAGCTTTCGACAAATTCTGACAAAACCGTCCGCTTAAAGTCTCACGGTGGGTTGATATCACATCAATGAATAGTGACAGATTGTCCTAAACAAGGATGATACATGGAAAACAAATTTCGTAATTACCGTAAAATCGATACCAAACGTGTTAAGATATTGGCAAACACAACATACGCCTATATGGTTTCTGGATTGGAAGATCAACTAGATGTGTGTATTAATTTACAAACCTCTCACGTGTACAGTTTATTAGACTAATAGGTGACACGTCGGTCTTGGTGTGGGGGATATACTTGTCAATATTGCCCTTCATTCAACGTCAGAGTCCCTCCTTGTGCACTTGATAGGCAGAGCATAGCTTTATACCAATGTCAAAATTATCGAATACAACATATAAGAGAAAGAGTCACGTGTTAGTATAACTATAATTTGAAGTTCCTATTTTTATACCATGTCCTGAGATAATCAATTATTAATCTCTAGTAATACACTATTACTGACTACACTGTTTTAATCAGTTAAAAGTCTCTAGTTTTACACTGTCACAGATAGCACTGAGATAATCTGTTATCAATCTCTAGTAATACACTATTACAGACTACACTTATAATCAGTACTTAATCTCTAGTAATACAGTATTACAGATAACAATGAGATAACCAGTAATCAATCTCTAGTAATACACTATTACAGACTACACTGAAATAATCAGTTATCAATCTCTAGGTTTACACTATTACAGACTTCACTGTTATAATCAGTTATCAATCTCTAGTTTTACACTATTACAGACTTCACTGTTATAATCAGTTATCAATCTCTAGTTATACACTATTACAGACTACACTAAGATAATCAGTTATCAATCTCTAGTTTTACACTATTACAGACTTCACTGTTATAATCAGTTATCAATCTCTAGTAATACAGTATTACAGATAACAATGAGAGAATCAGTTATCAATCTCTAGTTTTACACTATTACAGACTACACTGAGATAATCAGTTATCAATCTCTAGTTTTACACTATTACAGACTACTCTGAGATAATCAGTTATTAATCTCTAGTAATACCCTATTACAGACTACACTAAGATAATCAGTTATCAATCCCTAGGTTCACACTATTACAGACTACATTGAGATAATGAGTTATTAATCTCTAGGTTTACACTATTACAGACTACACTGAGATAATGAGTTATCAATCTCTAATAATACACTATTACAGACTTCACTGTTATAATCAGTTATCAATCTCTAGTAATACACTATTACAGATAACAATGAGAGAATCAGTTATAAATCTCTTGTAATACACTATTACAAATTACACTGGATAATCAGTTATCAATCTCTTGTAATACACTATTACAAATTACACTGGATAATCAGTTATCAATCTCTTGTAATACACTATTACAGATTACACTGTGATAATCAGTTATCAATCTCTAATAATACACTATTTCAGATAACACTGAGATAATCAGTTTTCAATCCTTAGTTATTACCTATCAGCCTCTAATATAACACTATTATATATTACACTGTGATAATCAGTAATCAATCTCAGGGTAAACACTATTACATATTACACTGTGACAATCAGTCTGTCGTCATAGACTTTTACATATAAATGAATGGCATGTGAAGCTGTTTTGTTTCGAGGAATTACACTTTACGGCTTTATGCCACTTGAGTTACCTTTGATATCGTTGAGAAATTTGAATATACAATATTGTTTATTGCGACTAAACTTGCTTTCAATATTTCTAAAAAAGTTTATTAACACTTTTATTGTTTGTCATATATTCTTTGTTTAATGTTCAGTAAATTTTAGAATTCTGATAAATGATCTCCTTTTGTTTCAACTAACAAAGATAGAAATGCACGTCGTTAGCAAACGAATATCGATATTCATGTTTAACTTACCTCTGATTAAAATTAATTGTACCTTTGCCAATTTACAAAGATATGAGCTACATTTGCAAATATTTATCTTAGAAATATATATAAATAAAGGCAGTGAGATAATTTATTTTGCATCTTACCGTGTGAATCCTTGGTATTTATGACATGATTAATGCTTTATAAACCCGTAACTTATTTGATCTCTATTTTCCTACGTTTTGCAGATTTTCTGGGATCAAGATAAAGACAGAGGTATTGTGATTTTCACTTTTTAAAAGGATCCACCTATCTCCTGTATTAGAGGCTTAGACAAACCCGACCACGGCTAGATCATTGTAGCATCCCTAAGCGAAACAAGTATTTTTCTGTTTAAATAAGACCCCTTATGTCGATGAATATGATAAATTGGAGGAACGGATATAGCAGTTAGGCAAACATAACGCGCGTTACACAGGGCCGAAGTGGGAGCATAGCTTGGAAACCCAGGTGGATATCGATCAAGGTGTATCTGCTGCCGTCCATTTAATCTGTTCAAACCTAAAGGTGTAACGTTGTAGAGGCGGTCTGCCTAGCGCGGTTATACATGTACACTATGTCAGTCATTTGAAACCAAGGAAAATATGATAATTACATCTTTTGAAATTACAATAGGAATATAAAGAACATCAATCGTAAATTAATATATTACAAATGAAATGTATAGCCTAAATGTAATCTACGGGGGTATACACTAATGTATCAAATGTACTACTTTAAAAATAGTGGATTTTATGATTTTCATATAAGCAATATTCTGTTTGAATTTATCAATGTATTATATTTAATTTATTGCAATATACATAATTTTGACTGCAATATTGAATTACATTGCGATTAGCGTGTTGCAACTGAAACAAATGGGACTTAGTTAAAACGTTCTGCATCAACATGGACGTCAATGTAATGCAGATGTATAGAAATCGTACCAGTCATATATAAAGTAGGATGTGAATTAACGATTCTGAACTTTGTTTTAATCTCTGTATAAATACAACGTATTCCCATCTAGTTTATCATGGCCCCTTATCTTTGACTAAGTCAGTAACGGAAACATTCCCCTGTACATTTACCACTGCCGTAAACAAGGTGATCGTTGATGACCTCTTTTACTTTTATCGCTTGTGAACATCCTCTTGTTTTTCCACTAAGTGTGACAATTAAAGAGGAACGGCCAAGGGTACTTTAGACACAGAGTTGTCTGCTGTGTTTGAAGTTGATTCACTACTGAGGCACCCGAGTATTCGGCCCAGCTGGGGCCATTGATCAGGATGACGCATCCTGGTTAGTTGATAGGGCGTAGGTGCTCGGGTATGGTTAGTTTAGTCAGACAAAGGAGACATATTCTCAAAATACTGTAAATCCCTTAGAGGTTATGAATACGTGCATTCGCGGAATTCCTCAGTGGAAATACTTAACGATATTATCAGCAATTATTTTCTTTAGATAAAACCCATTTCTTTTTTTTCAGCTAGAAAGAAAATTCTCGTTTTACCATATAATTACATAGGAGTATTCCCGTTCTGTCTCGAGGTTACAAAACAAATCCAGTAGCCTTCTTTCCGGTGATTGTTACTTCATTATACTGTGATGTCATATATTTAACGTTGACGTTACCGTTTACAGGCGGTATACTGTATTAATAAGCATGCAATATGTGGATATGTCGTTTTAGATCGGGAGCTATACTCATAGATCCTTTGATTATAACATAGGCGGCAAAGGTGTTACTTCTGTTGTCTTCACGGTACGAAGTAGAGTATGGAGGAGGAAACGTAGAAACGTAGTTGTACATTTATAAAAATCCAAAGGGATTTTTGACGACACCTGTTTTGCTGTATTTTAAGAGTATTGGAACACAGTAAACGTGGATTAAAATTCTTGTTAACCTAACATATGTAGCACTACCGGCCGAATTCGTTCATATGGTTCTGTGCAGCGTACAACTTATTGATTTGGTTTGGGTATATATTGTTTAACGTCCTATAAACAGCTAAGGTCATGTAAGGACATGCCTCCATGTGTGTTGTTTGTGAATGCATTTGGTATGTGTGCCAGAAACAGGGTATGTTGGTGTACTTACCTCGTTGTGATAGCCGACTTTATAGTGACTACTTATTTCCTGTGGTGAATTTACTTAAAACAAAGGAAATATTTCATATTGAAGTCAGTTTTGTCTTCCGTGGAAGCATATTGAACGGTATTGCACAAAAGCCATGTTGTCTTGTCTAAGATATACAGTTATACATGTTACATTTCTATAGCAGAGTAACGTTGTGGTAAACAATATATGAGATGCAAATAATATTGACTAAAAATACGGTGACTATCCCACCCTAAAATATGTAATTATACCACGAAAGCTTGTTGCCATTAACGAAAGCTATGCTTTTGACACGTAATAATGAATTATACAAATAGCAAAGGCATTGTTGTACAATATTGATGTAATTATTGTTTTAATTATAAAGCTGTACTGAACGTCGCTTTTCAGTTCTGATGATGAAAACTTTGGCACCAGAAAGACGATTGTGAATGTTAGCACAATATTGTCCATACTATCCTTTATCTCCTCTTTGGTGTAATAACGTACATGTTTGTCATTACTTTAAAATATTTCGGACGTTTTTGTACTGATTTGATAACTAGTGCCACGACCGTATCTAAGTGACCTAGATCACCGGGTGCAATGGACATAGCTGTGTCATGAGTGACGGCGATGTCACCGAGGAATGCTGTGTACGTTTCGGCTCGAAAGTGTCAAAGCTTCTCAATATTCATCCGCTAAAAATATTACCACAAGGAGTCAGAAAATAGTGTGTATAATCTGTATAAGTAGCTCGATAGTGTTAAAGTAAACTCTGATCTATACACCGATTACATATTGATATATCTAATAATTTGTTTATAATAAATTGTATATGCGTATTTATGTACGATTTAAAAATAATAGAATATAGCTTAGGACGTAAGCACGCGCTCATAAACTGTAAGCTCTGTAAGATACAATTTTTTTAATTGTGAACGTGTAATACATGTGGGATCACTTTAGTTGTTTCACTTTTTGACTTTTATTATGTCTGATGATTCCTAAATAACAGAAATGACCGTTTGATGCTAAAGATATTTACTTTGTTTGCCTTTGTTCAGCGATTATTTTATTTTTTTCTATATTTATTTTATTTTATTTGTAGCAATAGTATTATATATTATGTCCCACTGCTTGTTAAAATATGGACGTTAAGTGTTTATTTTAAACGCCTGCCAATTTGAATGTTGTAGTACAGTACTTTTGAAGTTGTAGAAAGTAGTTTGCCGTTAAAACGTTGTAGTACTTAAACATTAAACTTGTACATACATTTGTCTATTTACAACTCTGTAGTGCTTTATATTGGCGACAAACATTTTTCATAATCAGTTGTAGTATAGATCAGCATGTTACAAGCACAAATGGAGGGTTAGAGAATATACAAAAAAATAGACATTTATACAGACATGTATACATATAAAATGTAAGAGGTCATACTGTATATATTTCAATGCCTAACGACAGTAGAATACGTATCAATCGATACATATAACAAGGTTGGAGGTTTAACATATTGTGATGCAATCAGACATTCATATAGATATGAAGGATAAGTTATATATGGTTATGCCTGTAGATAGTAAAATATGACGTGTAATAAGTGAAAGATGGTAACAATTCCACCACTGTTTATAGATATAAGGGTTAAAGTGCAGAAATATTGTAATCGATACAAACAAACTTTTATGGAGGGTTGGAGACACATTGTAACGCATGCATACATTATTTTTGTAAATGGACTGTTAAATATTTCGCATATTATGAAATATGCGCATTCATATACCGGGGAATAAAAGATAAACGTAAAAACACATTGTTATTGTTTAATTTACAGGGTTCAAATAGGAAATACTCTCTGAGCTCAAAGACAGGGACACTGCTTCCGGAATTTCCTGATGCAAACAATTTGATTTTACCTGAGAACATTACACGAGAAAAGGTATCAATATGACTAAAAAATATTTTATTTTATTATCATGGTAGCAAGACACATCATTATTGTATGTTAATTACAATTATATATTTACAATAATGTTTGTTTATGATTCTAATTTGTTCTTTTGCACGAGATTGCTTTGTGTGATTACCTTGTTTTGTAACTCTTTAGCCAATAGTTGTTACATTCTTTCCACAGATGCAAACATTTATCATGATGTACCGAACCCACTGCCAAAGGATCTTAGACACGGTGATCAGCGCTAACTTTGAGGAGGTCAGTTGACCAGTGACGATTGTAACACAAGATAACAACAACATATCGAACATTGTAAATCGTATTCACTGAGATGTCTCTACCTTTATCATATAAAATATCATAGCGTAACTCTATATTGGAAGTGATGTAATGCGTAATCATATAAATCATTGGTTTATTACCCTTTACAATTAGAGGAAATTAACTTGACGTGCAATGAGTCTACATTTCATTAAAATTTTCACAAGATATTTGATTTTTACGTTTATGTTAATCGTTTCCTTATTTTAAGGAGCGATTCATAATAAAGAACTCTTATTAATGATAGATAACAATAACAACAAAGGAGTAATCGTCAAGAAAACATCACCTTTACTTTACACATTTGAAAACAAATAAGTAAATGTATGATCATTTCTATAGTCAATCACTTCACACTTGTCCTGTATTCTGACTGTGCTTCATTTTTTTATATAATATAAATTTGCAAACGTGGTATCTACTTATTGCTTAACATACAAATGTATTTATATCTCTTCATTGTAAATATTTAAACATAGTTACATACTTTAAAACTACGTTTGGACGATCTAATTGAATACCCATCATGTTTCCGTTGGTTATGCCGTTTCGCCGTAGGTACAGCACATGTTTTTAACTATTTTAGCTGCTGATTTTGTCTACAGTTTAAGTACAATAATTATAAGTAATACGGTGGTCAAACTAAAGAATAAAAATACTAGAGAAATATGAAAATGCTTTGCGCATTTTGTTCCGTAATGACAGTATAGACAAAAGAAGTGATACATTGTTGTTTTATTTTACAACTATCAGGGAACAGAATTTTTATTTGGAAAATAAACATCGTGGTAAGCGTATGCGTTATTTCTTTTTTACTGTAAAGACCTCTGAAATGACAAGTACGCTTGGCTGATTAAATGGCACCTTGCGCCATTAGTGTTGTCTTATTTGGTACATGTACATTGTAAGGGGCCATCAAGCATTTCAAAATCCAAACTCCCCTTGTCCGAAATGTTTTGCAATTATGACTGTCGAAGCGTTTAGTACAAGCTCGACTTTTTTTATGTCGCCACACAAAGTAGGAAAGGTAGAACATTCGTTTATAATGTTCTCGGCTTAAAGTAGCATCAGGTAAAGCAATCCATTGTTGGTTCATATACCTTCACCTTTGCTATTTTTCAGGTACAGAATTTCCTGCTTCATTTCTGGCAAGGAATGCCTGAACACCTTATACATTTACTAGATGCCGACATGATAGTAGACATCGTTGGTTTGTGCGATTCTATATTATACAAGGTTAGTATATATTGCTAATGACGAATTAAATGTCCAGTGTCTTGACAGAAATACTGTACTGAAACTCTATGATATGCACTATGCTGTACTTGATAGGTTAAAGAGCCGTTTGGACGGTCAGTATATAATTTGATGTACTTGATAGCTTCTGTACCGTTTGAACGGTCTGTTTAAGCAGAGTTCCGTACTGTGCAGTGTTAAAACTGTCAACGTTATACACTGAAAGGCAACTGTGTAATATCAAATGATGAAGATCATTTATGTTTGGAAATGGCTGACTAAAAGACGCAAAAGCTATGAAATAGCTTAAAACATTAGAAGACTTTACTATTTTCTTATCTAATCAGTGATTTGTACTGCAACAACAAATAGGAAAATATCCTTTGCCATTGTCTTTACTTATGATAGTCTGTACAAAGTAATAAAATATTTAAGTAACACATTATAATCAACGAGGAAGGGGACATCGGACTGCATCATCTATCAATTTTAACGATTTTTCACAATTCTGTAAACTGCTGTTTAAGTGTAGCGTAGCAAAGACAATCCTGAGGGTTTTATTCTACAAATCTAATATAACTATACTTCAAGTAAATTGTGGATGAATCTGTTGCACTTATAAAATTGTTACTAATTGTAGAAAATTATAACTGATTGCATTATGTTATATATATAAGTGTAACTATTCATTCACCGGTATCAACACATGTCAGAGTGCAGTATCGATATTAAACAGTCCAACACGTTTCGTGAAAGTTAGTAATATAGAAAGGATATTGAAGTACAATATATACAAATTGTTGTATTAAGTTAATTGGACGAACTTTATCCCAGTATCCGATGTTGTTAAGTTACTGTGTATTTATTTCGGGTTAGGTACTGGTAGACGTATTGATCCCGTCCACGATACAGGACCTCCCAGACAGGTAAATATGTGTTACTAATCGTTAAAATAGTGACAGTATGCAATAACGACAGTGTATACTATAGCTTAATTAGAGAAAGAATTTTTTCCTTAAAACATCGATTGCCATTTTAACCATAATTCTTATATAGATATACACTTTAAATGAAACGCAAAATAATGTTACATCAAATATGTGTACTTAGTTCAGTGTTTGCTGTGTACAGTAGTGACGAACAAAATATTATTAAAACACTTATAACATTACCAACAGGAGAGGGCTGGAGGGAAGCAATACATAAAAATAGAACAAATCTGGGAGTTTGTCTTAGACATTCATTAGCAAAAATTCCATCCACTAATCCAAAACTGCATCACCTTAGATCGTGTGATTGTTGTAAGTCTTTGACAGAGTTGTTTTTATTGACAGTTTAGGGTCGGAGATAAAGCTGTTTGTAAAACGACTACCTCACTGGCTAGATAACGCCCTAGACAACATTCCAGAAGGTCTTCGCCAAAAGAAACTTGAAGGTGTGTAGAATAGACCAATGTTACGTCGTATTATGTTCTGATCAATATAACGTATATAATGTCAATATTCCAAGGCTTCTGATATAAATATCTAAATATCTTCAGAAAAGACTTGGTTAAAATCAACCAAAAACAGATTACCTAGCAGCAGCTAGCGTAATTCAATCCATTAATATCATTCATTACATATTGTTGTCGAGAGTTCCTAAAAGGGGGGATAATGCTCCCCCGACATCTGCCATTTTTACATTAAGGAACAACATCTACCTTATGAATAATTTCTTTTCAGTCGTAGTTGATTAATATTTGTCGAAAGCGTACTATGGGTTTTCGAATGATAAATATTACTACATGTTTTACATATTAAATAACTGAACTAAATTTAATACTATTTTTATCATATCCCTTAACTATTTGCATCCTTTTACTTCTTCAGTGGTAAAAGGGTTTATTCAGAGTATTGTCCGCCAAACATCCTTTGTGCACCTGGCGCAGGTAAGTGGAATACACTACCGCAATGATATAGATAACTGTCGAGAGAGAGGAATTGTTGGAATGACTGTTTGTAGTTTAAGTCCTGGTTTACGTCGCAGTAATACATTACATTCCTATATTGTTTTTGTCGTGTTTCGTTTCGTTTGTTTGTTTTTGTTTTTGTTGTTCTTTTGCCACTATATGTTGAATGATGATAACACATTATATCTTTTAAGGTGTATTTATCTATTTGACTATTTTTTTCAAAGAACAATTTATGTTATTAAGAATTATTACCTTTTTTCATCTGTCATTCTATTTAGTATTCTAATGAAATATAAACATTCCTGGGACTCATTTTATCAATTACAAAGGAAATGTGTTTACAGCAAAAATGTGACTTTTTTTCAGACGGCGAGGACGGCTCTCCTTAATCATGACGTAGTCAATCAGATAATTGATGACGTCACGGATATCAATTTTACAGAGATTTGTTGCAGAGCGGGCTTCATAGAGCCATCAACCGCATCTACGTTCAAAGACGACATAATGGAATGTGAGTTTCCAATTTTTTAATCTATAACCATAGCATTGTGGTATTTTCGTTATCAGTTAATGATATATATTGCTTATGAAATATGTAAACCATTAATTTTGCATTTCAATTTCCATGGTTACAGATGATAACTTGATTAATGTGACTTATTTTCAATAACCAAGTATGTGATATGATATATACGACGATTGTGTAACGTTGGATTGATAACCAAGTATGTGATACGATATATACGATGATTGTGTAACGTTGAATTGATAATCAATTATTTGAAAGCAATATTGGATATGTGTGGGTTTCCTCCCCTTACCTGTAAACTGTCTATAAACGCAATCTTCTGATATCATTTCGACCTCAATGAATTCATGAAATTAGTTGAAAAACGGTAGCATTTCAGTACTGTAAGTTAACTTGTAATTCGATCAAATTACCATCATGCTACATAAATGTCATATTTTATTAAATGTCTTCAGATTCGATTGTTTGTTTGTTTTTAGTTTACGAAGAATTTCAAAGTTTGTTGAGTAAACAAGCTCCAATAGAGGCCTTTACGGAATGGATGGACACTATCATAGACAAGTGTGTACTACAGGTACGTCAACGGGAACAGAACTTCTGATTTTTCAAGAAATGTTTTCTAAAACATGTTATAAAATAGTATAAAATTGATAAATCACAAGATTTAACAGGATGTTTGAATGACACCATGGAATAGTACGACTTATTGCTGTTAATGCACTATTGCCATCACTTCTATTTCCATATATCTGTTTGTTTCAGCCAAAGAAGGACAACGGGAAAAAGTTTCGTGAGAGGGCGTCCAAATTCCTGCTGCAATGGGCAATATTCGGTTCTCTGTTCATGCGAGATCTTACACTGAGAAGTGCGGCCAGCTTCGGTGAGTAATTTTTTATCTATGATTTGATGTTACTTATCTTCAATGCTTCTCTCCTGTGGAATGTATTTTAATGTTCCTATAAGACGTTTGCTGATGCGCATTGATGTAACGCATTTATTAAGCTAGTAGTATCAACCAATATTGAACTACATACTTCAAATTTAAAAAAAAAAACTAAAAAAAACACCAAATAACTATTTGTTTGGCATGATTGATTTTATTGTTCAAGCCTTTTTTTCATACATCAACGTGACATATACATGTACATACACTCGCACAAACAATTAAAACTACTCGTGTTTAAGTATAACACTCATCATCTGCACCATTATTTAAACTCAATCATCAACACCATCATCATTATGGCCCTTTTTTTCTTTTCTTTTTTATTTTTTCGCAAGTTTTATTGATATATAAAACAACAACAACATAAACGTCCACTCACTCACCNATTCCACAAATATATTAGTTTACTTATTAAAATGTTCCCCTTTCTACAAAAAAAAAAAAAATCACATTCTTCTGAAACTATTTTCAAACGTTTTTGAAAAAATGGTGTAATGAATCGGAATGACAATTGAATGGGGGGGAAAACCGCAGAACAGTATACATGTAGGGTCATACTGAAAAGTTAGGGTTAAGTACAAAACGATTACCTGAAATGTGCGTAGAACTTAGTATACTTGTGTAAAGCAGAGACATACAGATACATTAACATATCTTATAGGAGTATTTCACCTGGTCCACATGATGTTCGACGAGTACGTTTTCTTAGTGATGGAAACACAGCAAGACCAGGCTAAGGAGGATATACTACAACGAAATGTACAACGACACATGAAAAATGCAGGTAAAGTTTATACTTATAATAATGCTACTGCATCAGTCCTTGGAATGTTGGGGATATTGACACAGAAAATCAACAACGAAAGGTTGTTCGACAACATGCTTTTTGTTACTATAAATATATCGCTTAATGTTGTTTCAATGGAGCTTCACCGCTAAAACATTGTTTGCGTGTTATAGTACAACAAAGTGTTGTGTTTCCTCTCAATGCTTAAATATATTGGCAACACTATAAGCTTGGCATATTTTATATGTTTTACAGAAGAAATCAACATGAATGCAAAAGTTAGAACACCCTCGACAAAATCTCATCACAACCGACACAACAAAAAGGAGAAGATGAACGAGGATCATTTTGATGCAACGGGTATTTGAGAGATTTATTTAACATGTATTACATCTTGTCATGTATTGAGAAAGATATTGTTAACGTACAACTAAGTGTGGATACTGCATTAAGTAATGTATAATCCATTTAACTGCTGGGGGCGAAAAATACCTTTAACGCAATGGACCATTAGTTTAACATAAGCGGTTCGTATTCCAACTTCGATGTCCTATTCGTTACTCACGTATTCACATTGAGGGATGGTATTAAACAAGGGAAAACGTTTGCTTTTGCATTTATCAAATACAGCTGGTAATTATCATTTTGTTTAAAACGTTATTTTATATTCTGAATCAGATGAAGGAGAACCCTCTACGGCAGCTGACGAAAATCAACCGGATGTTCCTGAAGTCTACACGCCTTCTAATATAACAGCGTTTAGCAGACCGACACCTAATAACCGCGAATCGTCTCATTTCTCAATAACAGATGACACTTGTCGGTCAAATGTGGCTCATGCATCACTGCCGCTGTCTCCTCTGAAGCCTTACCCTTCCATTAACACAGGGCCGTACGACAGGCCTACATATCTGCCGCAGTACGGCATCCACGGTTCGTACGGAGATTACGTGAATGGTGCGTCCTCTTTAGCAACCACCAGGATTGCCTCGTTCAGTGATACCCACGCACAAGCGTTTGGATCAGTACCATTTAATAATAATGTTCAACAGCCCATGAGTTCATACTGGACGGATGGAAGAACACACGCTGCCATTCATGACACTTATCCATACAGCTACAATAAGTTCCCATCCACCTACGATACTTACAATAAGAGTTCCTTTATACCTAGTGGACACTACCAGGACGCTTTAAACAGGTCACGGTTCGAATCCTCTCGGAGTTACCACTACCGGCCTACCCATGACAATCTCCAAGGTTTGTTCAATACTAATAATTCACTAATAAGTGGAATATGGGAAATAAAGCAAGATAAATTATCTGATCTGAAATTATTGAAAACATATTACGAGTTGTTATATTCATGGACAGATCATATGACAAATTTTCACTGTTATTACCTTTTGATAGGCCTTAGTATTTCAAATGCAATAATTGCAAGACATTGTTTTTATCCATTATTGACATTCGTCTTAAAATGACGACAACAATGATTATTGCCTTTGACCAATTAACGTATATGTTACAGATTGTGTCTTTCACTTTTTACCAATCAGCTTTTGTGTTACAGCCGTAGCCAGCCACCTATCGATGGGCGGGTATAGCGGTAACTATATGGACATCGCTCAGCCGGGCTCGCAGTACGGACGACAGGACACAATGATATATCAAGATGACATCTACACAGGCGGACTGCCGCCCACATTCCCGACTGTGGGAAAGTCCTATCTTACCGCTCCCTTCAGATAATGACCCAGCTGGTCTTACTGATACCACCTGCCGCCCACATTCCCGACAGTGGGAAAGTCCTATCTTATCGCTCCCTTCAGATAATGACCCAACTGGTCTTACTGATACCACCTGTTGGCCCGCATTTCTCTTAAGTGGGAACTTTAAAGGATTTGACCGTTGTTTTGTTACTTTTGCGTTTTGAACAAAGTATGCGTATATTTATTTTTAATATATTAAAAGGTTTAATGGTTGAATATTTGTCTTCCATCTTTATTTATTGGTTAACCAGTGATGATTGGACATTCCAATGACGAGAACAAGGTGTGCTTTGTTACCTTCTTAAGACAAATGTCCAGTAGAGCTTGTTAACTATGGGCGAGATAATAATACAATTGAATGTCTACGAGGCCTCTTCTCTCGATTCCAAATTCAAATTAACCTTTTCCGTGTATATAGAAGCCTTCTTTTATATGCTTCTTTGAACAGTTACTTTCTCTGCCTGCTTTAACTACATTTTTATACTGTTTGACATCGTTGGTGATTTCTTTTTGTTTTGTTACGTTTGTCAATACTACAGTGCCTCTCGATACTTATTGTTAAACAAACTACGACAACACACTTCATGTTCCTTTTAGCCTAGCCTCTCTCTTTACAATCAATTAGGACAAATAATCAGGTGTTAATTAGTTCATACCTTACTTCTGTTTTGCTGATTTATTTCAACACAATAAAGTAGGCAATAAGGAAGGTGATGTCAATGTGTCAGATATTCCTGTTGCTGTAGGCGGCATAACCCTTCCTAATATGCTCTTACAAATTATACAATTGTATTAACTTCAAATCATACATGTATATCTAGTTAGTTCAAACACCAACAAAATATTAATACTTTACTCATTATGAACAAACCTCTGGGTATTTACTTGTACTTAATATCACAGGAAAATTACAATTTTTCAACTAAATGAATAAATGTATGTTGATTTAATTGTACATTTCTCAACGCATCCATTTTGCGTCGAATTCGGACTAGCCTGCAAATCAGATCCATTTGTTTATATGCATAAACATAAATAATAGCTGATGTTTTTCTTAAGTTATTGGTTTGCACTCTCTATGTAAAACGAAGGTTTGTTCTACGGAATTCTCATTTTTCATCTTAGAGATTAAATGCCTTGCTTCATGTACTTCATTCCTATTTGAAGTCTACGTGAAATTGTACTTGAATACAATATAATAACAGACAAATATACACTGTGGACTCTGTTAATAACGGTTTTGCTTCATTTAACATCACGTCTGTATCTTACTTCCAACATGAGAATAAAAAAAAGACAAAAGGAGAACTCAGAAAATTAGGACAAAATATTAACAAAGGAAACAATTACATGGAGACAATTGAAAACGTACAAGGAGACCAAGACCGGGGCTCGTCTTCATGAAACCATTCTCGTGCTCAAGCATGGATTTTGTGCTCAAGTCTGATTTCTTGTTCCGGATATAACTTGATAATACAATTTTATTTTGTCAATGATTTGCAAAAACTTAAAAGAGACTTAAAGTCGGATACTGTTTTCAATATTTTCATTTGACGTTTTGATCGTTTTACATGATTTAAGTGAGTAACAAGAATGTTCGTTTGAGCACAAAATCCATGCTTGAGCATAAGAACGACTTCATGAATACGGGCCGAGGTGTTCCGGAAGAGTAAGGGCATTCTGCTTAATCGATGACACCCACCATACAAATATAAGTCGAACATAAGTTATATCACGTCCTCGATTCGAGAACCCGGGTAGTGACAACAAAACGAACTCTAATGAGTATAATCAAAAACATCGATCTTAATATCACCCAATGAAATAACATTTTCCCTGCGATGTCGTGATGCCGACCATAACACGTGTCCTTTATATCCCTGTGTCTACATCTTTTGAAACCATGAGTTATAAGTTTTTTCTGTCAGCAATCGACAACTAAGGCAAGATAATCTGAGAACTATGATATCTAGAATTATTTGGATCGAACTGACGTCTGGCCAATTCTATAAAACACATCATTAAATGTTCCCGCCAATGTAACCCATTCACAAGGACACAACATATAATAGTATTGCCTTTAAGTCCTTTCTCCAACACAAACTTAGATGTTCTTTCCAAGTTCGCCCATTCTCTAGGACAAATAATGATTTTTTTTCTAGTCTTACCAATTCTTCAAAATACTTTACATTATGTTCCTTTTTACATTCAACACACAAAATTGTCCTCGCAAATCCATGGAAGCTTTCCTACAAATGTTTGAAGTGATAACGGTCATTAAACGTATGGTATCCGACAGAATGTGGATCTATTGAAAAATCGAAAAGAAAAGTATCGATAATGTACCAAGAAAATAATTATAAAGTACTGTTTCCGATGAAATAAATTAAGAAATAAACGTTTGATCAAATAATTCCAGCTGTTTGAAAATTGAAAAGAACGTATTACGGCCTGATATACAATTATTGAACGATAACTTTATGAATAACATATACAGTTAATCAACCATTTTTAATTACCGTTTAGCATATAAGTATTCATTGTGCCCCAGTATACTCTAGGTAATAAGTAGGTTTAAGTTAGGAAAGGTGCACACATGTTTGTTTCCCACTATAACAAAACCAATTCTAGAGGAAATCAATAATTTTCAGTAGAATGGGACAAGCACATACTCAACCACAGACTAAATGCCATTTACTACGCTGAATATGATAATTAGTAAATATATATTTTATAAGCCACGTTTAACAATCAGGTATCTGAAATGATCAGCCGGTCGCTGTACTTCTACATGATGTGGTCTACATGGATCTCAATATTTCTTGTGGTAAGTAAATGAGCTCCTGTATCATATCTATCGCAGTTGTAATCTTCGCTATAATTATTTTTTATTGTCATATGTGATATTTTTAATTGATTATATACTATCTTGGAAAGCTGCCACGTTTTAATAAATTGCAATTTTAAGAAGGTTACCTATAAAATTAGAATTGTAATAGGTTTTGAAGTAGTGAAAACGTTCATCATGACGGGCAACTTCATACTGGTTGGATGTTTATACGTACTAGCTGGTAGGATAATACTGATTGGTTGTTTATTCTGGTGGGTAATATAATTCTGATTGGATGCTACATACGTACTAGCTGGTAGGTTAATACTGGTGGGATGTTTATTGTGGCGGGTAATATAATTCTGATTGGATGCTATATACGTACTAGCTGGTAGGTTAACACTGGTGGGATGTTTATTGTGGCGGGTAATATAATTCTCATTGGATGCTATATACGCACTAGCTGGCAGGTTAATACTGATTGGTTGTTTATTCTGGTGGGTAATATAATTCTGATTGGATGCTATATACGTACTAGCTGGTAGGTTAATACTGGTGTGATGTTTATTGTGGCGGGTAATATAATTCAGATTGGATGCTTGTACGTACTAGCTGGTAGGTTAATACTGGTGGGATGTTTATTCTTGTGGGTAATACAATTCTGATTTGATGCTATATACGTACTAGCTGGTAGGTTAATACTCGTGGGATATTTATTGTGGCGGGGAATATAATTCAGATTGGAGGCTTGTTCGTACTAGCTGCTAGGTTAATACTGTTGGGATGTTTATTCTGGTGGGTGATAAAATTCTGATTGGATGCTATATACGTACTAGCTGGTAGGTTAATACTGGTGGGATGTTTATTCTGGTGGGTGATACAATTCTGATTGGATGCTATATACAAACTAGCTGGTAGGTTAATACTGGTGGGATATTTATTGTGGCGGGTAATATAATTCAGATTGGATGCTTGTTCGTACTAGCTGGTAGGTTAATACTGATTGGTTGTTTATTCTGGGGGGCAATATAATTCAGATTGGATGCTATATACGTACTAGCTGGTAGGTTAATACTGGTGGGATGGTTATTCTGCTGGGTAATATAATTCAGATTGGATGCCTGTACGTACTTGCTGGTAGGTTAATACTCGTGGGATATTTATTGTGGCGGGTAATATAATACAGATTGGATGCTTGTTCGTACTAGCTGGTAGGTTAATGCTGTTGGGATGTTTATTCTGGTGGGTACTTTAATTCAGATTGGATGCTATATACGTACTTGCTGGTCGTACTAGCTGGTAGGTTAATACTGGGGGGATGTTTATTCTGGTGGGTGATACAATTCTGATTGAATGCTATATACAAACTAGCTGGTAGGTTAATACTGGTGTGATGTTTATTCTGGTGGGTAATACAATTCTGATTGGATGCTACATACATACTAGCTGGTAGGTTAATACTGTTGGGATGTTTATTCTGGTGGGTAATTTAATTCAGATTGGATGCTATATACATACTAGCAGGTAGGTTAATACTGGTGGGATGGTTATTCTGCTGGGTAATATAATTCAGATTGGATGATATATACATACTAGCAGGTAGGTTAATACTGGTGGGATGTTTATTCTGATGGGTGATACAATTCTGATTGGATGCTATATACGTACTAGCTTGTAGGTGAATAATGGTCGGATGTTTATTCTGCTGGGTAATGTAATTCAGATTGGATGCTATATACGTACTTGCTGGTCGTACTAGCTGGTAGGTTAATACGGGCGGGGTGTTTATTCTGGTGGGGAATTTAATTCAGATTGGATGCTATATACGTACTTGCTGGTCGTACTAGCTGGTAGGTTAATACGGGCGGGGTGTTTATTCTGGTGGGGAATTTAATTCAGATTGGATGCTATATACGTACTTGCTGGTCGTACTAGCTGGTAGGTTAATACTGTTGGGATGTTTATTCTGGTGGGTACTTTAATTCAGATTGGATGCTATATACATACTAGCAGGTAGGTTAATACTGGTGGGATGTTTATTCTTGAGGGTAATACAATTCTGATTGGTTGCTATATACATACTAGCTGGTAGGTCAATACTGGTGGGATGTTTATTCTGCTGGGTAATGTAATTCAGATTGGATGCTATATACGTACTTGCTGGTCGTACTAGCTGGTAGGTTA